GCAAACTGAGGCAATGTTGGTAGCTCATCCTCCACAATGGAAGCTTGTGATGTTGGTCCTGAAGCTCTGGTTCTGGGGTGTCACAGCCTCACTGCTTTGAGGAAACAAGTTGTGTGGGAGGAGCTGACTGTGAGGTATCGCTCTTTGCCATTCACATCTGGAAAGTACTTGCTGGAGGCCACATGCTTCTTTGTAAGCTGGACTTGCTCATGCCTCTTGTCTGGCTTGGGACTGAGCTCAAAGGCTGTGGAACCTTGCAAGGCTGATGGGTCTAGGCCCACTTGCAGTAAGAAGGCCCCCTTCTTGTGAATATCATAGGGGTTCAAAAGGCTTCCACTGCGGTTTGATGGGTGGATGAGGAAGGCATCTGGTGGTAGCCAAGCTTTCCATGCCAAACCAACATCCATCAACTTAGCCTCGATCTTCAACCATGCAGCCAAGGGCTGCTCTTTGCCTTCCTCCATCATGGCCATGATGAAAGTTTTGGTGAGGTGATCCATGCTTGCCATTTTGGTAAGCTTTGAACAATCTTGAACAAACAAGTTGCTATAAGCAAGGTAAAGTTTGAATGAGTCAACATGCAGCAACAAGTATGTAGCCATTATTGGTGCTCCATCTTAACCAACTCACTAACATGTTTACACTTACGCATGTTCAGCCATCATGGCTCACAAGCTTGTTTGCCTTTTACACCTCCTTCCCATATACAGCTGTACATCTTGCACATGGTTGATGAATTCGAACCATGTGTGAAAACACACAGGCCAGCTATACAACTCCACCTAGTCAGAGCCAGAAGAACTTGGCAAGCTCCTCCTTTTGTTGATGCTTCTTTTGATTCTTCTTGCCAGCAAGTGTGCTGCAATGGAATCCTGATAGTCATTGCAGGGTGGGGTGGCGTGACTTTAAAAAGAATCAAACATAGAAACAAAAAGAAAATGTATACTTATACACTTCCAGTGCACACAGCTTCTCAGATAAAGCCAATGCTTCTCCAGTTTATCCATGGGCATCTTTGCCAACAGCAACTGCTGCATTCTCTGTGGAGGAGGTTTTGCCATTGCAAAAGTGGCCCAATGCAACCAATGTAGCAAAAAAGCTGCAGTGAGAAGACCAACTACAACAAGCAGCCAGTTTGGCTTTACTCAAGCACACCTTTGACAAAAACATGTTCCACTTGGTAAAAAATCATGTGTGCCCGCGCAGTATTTTTCAAAAATGGGTTGTGCAAAAACCACATGCAAACTTTTGAAAATATGAAAATAGAGGTGCCAGCATGTGAAAAAGCTGACAATCAAACCATGGAAAATTGCTTTTGCTCATATGCTAAGTACTTAGCTAAACACTTAGCTAAGTACTTAGCTAAGTACTTAGCTAAGGACTTAGCCGGTCCAGCTAAATACTTATCAAGTGGTATTTAAATTTTGTATGTGCACTAACTTTTTTAGCTAAATTTTAGCTAAGTAGATCTTACAAAGACTAAAATATACATTTGTATCTAGAGTTTAGCCCTTTTTGCTTAACCTTTAGTAAGTATGTGTAGTACTTGCACTTCATTACTAAGATATACACCATACTTATACTGTACTTAGATCATACTTATATCTTACTTGTACCCTGGATACTAAATAGTCTAAGTTCTATAAGTAGGTACAAGTAGCGGGATCATTCAAGCAGGGCGTCGGGCGACGACGAACATTCAGACTCTACCAAACCGCTAAAAATGCCTAAGATTCTGCCTACCGTTTCTGGGGTCAAAGCTTCTTGATCATCTCGGGCGATGGCTTCAATGACGCTAACCTTGTCTTGGGTTGTTGACTCAACAGCTGTTGCCAAGGCAACTCGCTCACGGCGTAGTTCCATTGGCAGTTCATCAATGAACGAACAACATTGCGTGCACCACACACGATGAGTCGAACGGCTGGATCCCCTGTTATCGGTGGATTCACGCGGGCAATCTTCAGGCTTGTACTGGGGTTTCTCTTCCCTTTTCTCGGTGGATGAATGCCCACTACGCAAACACGTGCGACGAATCGTGTACCCCGCGCTCCCTCGGAACGAAAACTCCTGGCAGTTCTGACACTTGTTGGGCAATGGTGGATAAGGCGGCGTCGCCTTTGCAGTTCCTTTCTTGGTGCTACCGGGCAGTGCAGGGGGAGGTTGAACAGGTTCATCTCGAAGGTAAATCTCTCCACCCCTGAACTCAAAGAACTGGTCAACTCATTGCACATACTGCTGGATTCCGGGAACACGAGAACCTTCCTTCTTTGCCCATACATAGAATTGGGGTTGTCGATGCAGAACATCCCAATAGGTCTTCCCCTTGAACTGTCCAATCTGAAACACATTGTCGAATCCCATGGGGCGCTCGACCGACGACGGAGTCACTCGGGCGCCTAAGTCGGACGAAGTGGCATCATTTGCATGAGCCATGGACGACTGTGCCTGACGGACGGGGACGTGAACCCTTACCGGATGCTCCTGATCGAAATGCCATCATGGCAGCATTGGTCTGCTCAGTAGAAGTGGCTGCACCTACATACACAAACCCTTCTTCATCATCCGATGATTCACTCTCATAGGCCAGGTTAGCAGTAGGCTTCGGGGGTTGTGGCTTGTTCGCAAACTTGCAACCAGGGTCACCTGCCCAATGTCCCATGCCTCCACAGCGGAGACACTTGGACTTGGCCTTCAGGTCACGAAGCTTGGCACGGCGTTGCTCAATGCTCATCTGGCTGCGGACAACCTTGCCTTTGCCTTTACCTTTGACACCTTTCTTGCCAAAACCTTTGCCTTTGCCTTTTGCTTTGCCGAATGCATTGAACGCAGCGAGCTGAAGCTGGATAGCTTCTCCTGCTTGACGATCGTCGGCCTCCTCGAGGTCCAACATTGCGTTCAAGGCAATTGCTTCTTTTTCTTCGCCTTCAAGATAATCGAACTCTTGCTCCTGCGCTTCTTCTTCTTCATCAAATCCATCCCCCAACCAGGCGTGGGAGTCGCCTTCATCGAAGTTGGTCTCAGCTGTTTCTTCCATGGTTTCCCATGGTAACGACGAATGCTCATCCACTTCAGGGTATGAAACATATGCAGAACGAAATGATTTGCCTTTGCCAGAATGATTCGAATAGCTCTTGCCCTTCCCAGTCATAGGTGAAGAGCGGCCTTGCCATGTCTTTCCACCTTCTGTGAGGTGAACTCCTGAGTAGTGGTCAACGAGAACCTTGCAATATCCTTCGAAGTTCTTGGGGTTGGCACATGCTTTGGTCACAAGGATCTCCTGGCGTGACAAACCAGACAATTCGAGCAACAGTTCGGCGCGAAGACTGTCACTCAGCATCATGGTCGAATCCAATTCCTGCAGCACGGGCCACCAACGTTTGCGACGGTTGGTGTACGACAGCGTGGACTCTCCAGACTGGCAAGACAAAGGGCCTCCGTGCTTCTGGCCAGCACGGAACAACTCCTTCGCCTCTTCATTGGCACGTGGGAAAACGAAAGCCTTCATCTTCTGCTATAATAGGTCTTCCAATCCTTCCTGACTGGTCAGGGCATCAAGACCGACGTCCCTGAGCAAAAAGGCATCTCCACGCAAACCTTCAAGAATCTTGTTCACGAGCGGGCTGATGTCTGGCTTGCTGATCTTCTTCATCATCATCATCATCTTCTGGTTCGACAGGAGGGAAACCTGGGAGCTCAGCGTCCTCCTCAGTACCTCCATTGGGCATGTCACCCTTCTTTGGTGTTGTCGCTGGAGTGCTCTTTCTGGATTGGGTCATGTGTTTGCTGCCTTCTTTCCACAAACGAATGCGAAGGCGGGTGCGGAATTCCCAGTCATGAAACGATGCGGCATCACCATAGTAGATGTACGAACCAGACTTGGTCTCCAAATCAGTACCGCCTGCTGAATTCTTGTCGGGATTAAGGCGAAGTCCTGCGACCGACATTCCTTGTCTGTCAGGCCTCAACAGGCAATTTCAAGAACACTTGGTTGCAAATTCGAATCCTGGATCGGCGGATTTACGGGTTGATGGATGCAGTGGGACGAACCCGAACCTGCTCCGCTACCAATATGAAACTGGTCCCGACCGCGACGTCCAACGGCGTTTTCACGCAGGGGTAAGCGCGAGTAAGCTCAAGGGCCCTGTAAACGCAAATGGCGGCGGAATGCACCGTGGACAGAACTCGGCTGTACACAAGATACCAACAACAGGGAAAATTCACACCAGTGTGACCCGACCGCGTGAGGTTGGCGCTGTTTCTTTGTTAGAAATTTCTAGGGACACTCCATAGAACAACACCGGAATTGTTCAATGTGGCGTGTTCAAGTTCAGGCTAGATAGTGGTAACACAATGATACAAGACGTAAAAAAGAGCTCACAAATGTTTACATTCATATATGTAGCCCATCATGCATTCGATGTTGACCAAATGCCTTAGGGTTTGACTCAGAAGATAAGGCGGACGGAGTGTAGGGGAGACTCCTAGATATGCATCTTTACACAATGAGTCACAATGAGACAGGGCGCGCGTGCGTCTGCAGACCACAGATCCAGGGAAAGCACATCACATCACAAATCTGTAATTTGTGTAAATGGCCACAAAAAAAAAAAAAAACGTCAGAATGCACAGTTAACCAAAATGTTGCTGGAAGGGACACAAAAGAAACATTACACTTCGCCACATCGCAAATCACTGTCGCCTCACATCACATCCCCAAATGACACATCTCCACATCAGCACACATCACAACATTGCACTTCACCTACAGGAAGAAAACGCAACGCACCACATCATCACATAGCACATCATCGCAATATCTCCTGAAAGGCAAAAGCTTTCGAAGCGTTGCCCTGCCACTCTGCCAAGGTCGTTCAACGTTACGGCTATGTTGGAGGCCATCGCTATTATATAGGTGGGAGACCCTTACAATTAGGTTGGAGGACATCGCTAGTAGGTAGCTCAATCACCGTCTTTCTTCGTCTGCCAGTTTCAACTTCCGCCTCCGCTGCAGCCCACGGAAGCTCGGGGAGCTTCTGCTCCAGCTCACTTTGCATACGTGCTGCTGCTGTTGGAAACGGGTCCTTGTATATACGCAGAACACGAATCAACATGAAACACTTGGCAACGCACCAGAAAAGCAAGAATGATAACAGAAGGCATCCGCATCTCTCCTCTTCATCTGCAAGTTTCATTCCAAGCGGAACTCCACTGTGAACCAGCACGGCCATGAAAGGCTCATCTTTTGCACCTCGTCTAGCAGTGTCATGAGCCACATATCGTACATCACCTTTATCAAAATAATGGCAGGTCCAGGAAAAGGGCCATGAGACTTCGGACTTGTCGAAGAAATACGCCACAGCGAAACGCGCCGAGTACTCCACTTGCCTCAAAGCCGACATAACCTTCTCATCGGTTTGCGCTAAAAAGCTGCCTCGCATCCCAAACTTCGATGCTCCAAGAACTTGAAGCACCGGTTGCGTCAAGACGACCACATTGGCCCTGGTGTCCGCCATCTTTGGTGAATCAGCACCGATACTGACAGCAACTTCTTTTTCGGACAAAACAAGGTCTTCAACTGCAACACCCCAATCCACAGCTACGGATGAGGACTCCAGGAAGTATTCGGCAATGGAGCGCATTCCCTTTGGAGCTGCAAAGTGACGGATGTCTGAGCCTGCTCCATAGGGATTTGGTCCAGCCACTTCACCAGTGAACGGAATCAAGATACCTGCGTCTGTCAAACGCTTGTAGAGTGGTCCAAGGAAGGGATGCTCGGGCGAAGATCTGGTTGTAATGTATTGAGCGCCCAAATCCGCGTTGGCGAGTATCGGAGTAGAACGATCCCCTCGCCGGAAGCTGTGTGTCGCCATTCGGCCTCCTGCTCCCCGCGATTTTTCCAGCACTCGTACGGAAAGCCCCATGTCCTTGGCCAGCAAGGCCAACATGGAGCCAGTGATCCCTGCTCCAACGATGAGAACTTGAGGAGCCATGGCGCTCAGCTTCACAAGTTGCTTCACAAGGCGTGTTCTTGATTCGTTACCTTGGCCGCCTGCCTTGGCCTTGGACTTAATCTTTTAGACCAAGCCCCTGCGAGTAGTCAATGTATCATGGCCTGCGCAAAACAATTTTTTCGGCCTAGATATCATTACTACGACCCGACGTGGTAACTTACCCCATCGCACATGAACTTGACCCACCCCCATGGCACACCGCTTACCCCACGAATGTAAGAAATTACCCCATTTGGAAAACACAATGGCACACCGCTTCGAAACAAGCACGTTTTCTCCTAGATTGTTTCTAAACCTACACGATTCCATTGCGATTCAAACTTCTACATGTTGATGTTTTCTAAGGTTTTCTGTGGACTGCCGTGATCCAACCCCCATGGCACACCGATTCTGACCCACACGTTGGTACCAGCTTTAAGTTTCTACATAGAGTGCAAACAGCATGGAGTTGTTCTGTAAACGTCAAACATATCTATTCATTCTTGCGTGTTTTCCTCTCCCAATCCCCATGGCACACCGCTTCGAAACAAGCACTTGTTCTCCTAGCCTAGATTGTTTACCTCTAGGAAAGTTCCAATTCATAGCTATTCGATAGCTTACCCCAATGGTATACTGGATTCACAGACATTGCAGTGTGAACGCGAAAAAGCCAGTGTGCCACGCAGATCTGGCATCAATAAGATGGAGAAGTATGTTGCTCATCTCTTCTTGCTTGCACTGCTTTGATGGCTCCCCCCAATGGCACACCGGCTGCCATACGAGATCTTGACCACGATAGGGGCAAACGCAGGCACCCAGTATGTAGAAACAAATGCACGAGGCAAATGAGGCCTGCCCCCGTTCTGTCCCAAGATTGGTTGGGAGCGCAACTCGAGGCTGGTTGTATTCCAAGCACTAGTCACTAGTCACAAAAAAGAACAAATACACAGTATGAAATGACCAAAATCGTCTACACTCCTAAACACAAAACTGCTTGGGGACACCGTTTTCAACGATTGTTGAAAAAAAAACTAATCACAATGTAGTGAAGCCGAAAACATGAAATCGCAACGGTGCACTTGGGAGTACAATAAACTTGAGACAGAATCAACAGTGTGCCCTTGCGGTTTGGTCGAATTCTCAACCTTTGATCAACAACAACAACATACATACAAAAACTTAGCCCAATCAAGCTTTCCCCCAAGGGCACACCTCATCCGGCCCAAGTTCATGCCATTCGAGACAAGTTAACCCGAGCACCCAGTACCTTACCCCCGGGGGGGGTCAAAAATGTAATTTACAATTTCGGGTGTGTCAAAATGCAGGGTTTGGAAAACGGTGAAATTTGAACATACAGGTCTGACATACCTCCATCTCACAAGACAGGGGTCAAAATTGTAAGTTACATTTTTGACCCTCGTGTGTGTTCGTTCGGCCTGCGCGCACTCAAAAACTAGACGACGAATGGCCCGAAAGCATTTTTCATCACGTAGGAAGTCAGAGCGCGAGTTATCTGTTAAGTGTGCAGTGTGAAGTGTTAAGTCGAGTGAGTTGAGGTAGTGTGTGGGTTTCTGTGCGTGTATCTATGTCCGTGTGGAATTGAGTCTGCGTATGTGTGCGTTCGTGCAAGTTGAGGCAGTGTGTGGGTGTCTGTGTGTGATGCGGCCTCCCAAACGGCGCCAGGAAAAGCTCACGGAAAAAAAACGAACCGGAATGAGGACAGAAAAGTGCCGAGGCAGGTACGCCAGAAGTGTCTCGAAGCAGTGACCTGTCAGAGGAGATGAACGAAGTAGCGCGCAGGCCTCCCAAACCCCCACCGGCGGCCAAGCGGCAACAGCCCAGCTCATCGTCATGAGCATGTGAGCGGCTGGGAGAAGCAGCGTGCACGGGTGTAGGGAATCTCACTGAAAAAACCCAGCTGGAATAAACACAGAAAATGCTGAGGCAGCCACGCCAGAAGTGTCTCGAAGCAGTGACCTGTCAGAGGAGATGAACGAAGTAGCGCGCAGGCCTCCCAAACCTCCACCGGCGGCCAAGCGGTGACAGCCCAGCTCATCGTCATGAGCGTGTGAGCTGCTGGGAGAAGGAGCGCGCACGGCTGCAGGGAATCTCACTGAAAAAACCGAGCTGGAATGAACACAGAAAATGCTGAGGCAGCCACGCCAGAAGCGTCTCGAAGCAGTGACCTGTCAGAGGAAAGGCGTCCATCGATATATATCTTCCGGGCAAAAACGTTTGTTTCACTCCAGGACACAGCTTTTCTAGGATGTAGTTAACCAACCACTATGCTTGTCATTGAGTAATTGACTGTCTCAAAGAAAAACGTGACAAAGTAGCATGAGGTGACACACAGCAGGCACTGTAGATGTTTTAGCGCACTCTCGCTGTTCTGCTCGCGACTAGTCTTTGTACACAGCAAGGATAGTGTTGTGCTTCCGCAGAACGACGTCCGCACAGAATTTATCAGGAAGAAGTCACGGTATGAGACACGCAGTTGGTTGGGTCTAGCGCGTCCGCCCGAAGCAGATCTGGATGGTGTAGGCATCTGTGAAGTTGCGGCTGTTGTTCCTAACCCAGTCTTCCCATCCACTGGACCACTGGACCACTCGCCAAAACTGCCAGGTTTCTCCATGGGCAACCCAGCATCTGGTTGGGCCATCTTTCATGGATGAGCTCTGGCTGGTCGTCATGGTATGTCCTGCTTCCATAGGACCAACAGAGGCACACCTGTCTCTGGTCATCCTGGTTGACGCTGAAGAAGTGGTCGTCAACAATGCCAAGGTTCCCTGGCATGATGGCTGGGCAAAGAGGAAGACCTACGAGCTGGTGGGCTGCAAAGTAGTAAATAGCGCATGCATAGCCATAAGAAGGCTCTGTTTGCGTCGTAAAGGTTCATGTGCGATATGAATATTGCAAAAGCTTGGGGGGTGCGTGAAACTTCTTGCAAGTATATGCGTCACTGCTGTTGAGTAGATATTTTGGTAGTTGGCCCAAGTTGTGTGGAGACTTCTGCAATGTCACTGTGAGCGCCGACAGGTCAGCCACGGAAAATGCACAGTCTGTTGGCGCAGGCGCTCTGAGGGTGACATGTGCTTCGCTATAGATGTAGTTAAGAACCACTATGCTGTTCATTTTCTAATCGCCTCTCCTACAGAAACATGCAACAAAGTAGCACGAGGTGACACACAGCAGGCACTGCGCATGTTTTAGTGCGCTCTGGCCGTTCAGCTCGCGACTAGCCCTTGTATATGGAAGAGACTCCCCGACACTATGTCTAGTACTTGTTGCGCTTCCGCAAAACGACGTCCACACAGGATTTGTAAGGAAGAATTCATGGTATGAGACATGCAGTTGGTTACCATGTGAACATCTAGGTGACACCCTGCGTCGGGGAGACTCTCACTGCGTTGTCCGCTCCGGAGACACGGCGGCGACCATCTGGGCCAACTGGGCGGCGTCGAGGGTGCCATCTGGTGACACGTCCGCCAGTGGGATGCGGAGCGGTGGGTCCACTTGAACAAACCTGCCAGTCTGGTCGCGGTAGCCGCTGAGTTCGATGCAATCGGGCGGTGTGGTATTTGCAGCGCGGACCGCTTCCCACGACCGCCCAAGACGCTGGCATGGTCGACAGATAAGGTGATCGGCATCGCACTGGGCGCAAACGGCGTTGAACGGCCGCAGCGAACAAGCCTCGCACCAGGAATGCGTCCACTGCCCGCAAAGTTCGCAAGGTTGGGCTCCGAGGTCTCGTCCAGGTAAGTTTTCAGCCGCAGTGACCAGCGCAAACGCCGCCCTCTTGGGAAAAGATCGCTGGCGCTCCTCGCGTGGTACTCCGCGATGGTTGTAGGCGCAACCAAACCTTCGCTTCCGCGACCCACGCTTCCCAAGCCACTGGGCGCAGGGCAGTCATGGCACGGCGGCGTGGTGAGAGGAATGACGACGAGGTGTGCTTACAAGCGACTGGCTGCGAAGCACCGGAATCCAGTTTCCAAGTAGCACTGACACAGCGTACAATCGTGTGCACTGTGGTATTCGTCTTCGGCCCTCGCCCGTCCTCGCCTTCTTGTCGAAGAGCACACCTGGCGAGAAAAGCAAGAGGGTTGGCGAGAAACCTCTCAGATGAGGCTGTTTCCTGAAGCTCAGTGTGGCACCGCGCCGATTAAAGCGCCAAGTCCCACCGACAGTGTACAATCGTGGGTACTGAGGTATTTGTCTTCGTCTTCTGCCCTCGCCCGTTCTCGCCTCCTGGTAGAAGAGAATACCTGGCCAGAAAAACAAGAGCTTTGGGGAGAAACCAATAAGATATCTCGTACGCTAAACTGTTTGCTGAGATTAGAGGCTGAAGCTCACTGTGGCGCCGCGCCTATTTTTGTTTGCCTGGGCCGTCTAGTCCGCGCGACGACACTTCTGCAGAACAGCGTCCATGCCGTCGCGGCGATACACTTTCGCAGAACGGCGTCCATGTCCCGAGCCTCTCAGAGACTCAAAGCCGCGTGAGCATGCTTGGACAGCAAAGTCTCCCAATGCTTCAGTGCCCATAGAATATAGTCTCGATTTTTCCATGGGCGCAAGGAAGGTCGGCGCCACAAAATCTGTTCAATGGCTTCCTGCGCCTGAAGACCTTCCCTGGCCATCAACGTCGCAGCCAGTGCCGCGGGGCTGCGATGTATGCCACCGAAACAATGGAAGAGCACGACTTGTTTCTTCCCCAGCATGGCGCGCCTGGCATTCAAAGTGCGTGTGATCTCTGACCATACCCGACAGTTCTTCTGGGCCTGCTCCGCGTACAGCGTCGGATCTTGGGCGACTTTGACCGTCAAATCGTCCAGAGCGTAGACACATTGTTGGGCACTGTGCAGGCGTAAATATGAATCCCAACTCTCTGGTGTCCCTTTGGCCTGCAAGTCCTTGGCACAGAGCGTCACGAGCGTGTTCACTTGGACGCCGCAGATATGTGCCACTTCGGCCAAGTTCGCCGCCGACTTCAGACTGCCCAGGACATACACCATATCGTTCGACTCATAGACGATGGGCCACGCACGGAGATCTCCCAAATTGTAAGAATGGTTCCAAATGACATAATCCAGATGCCTCCATGGCCCATGGTTGAAGTACGTCTGAA